TTACATATATATAAAGATAAATAATTTTAATAATATTTTAAATATACAAACCGATTTTAAAAATAATATCTTATAGCAATACATTTTGAATAATAACCAAATAATTTATATTCCTCAACATATCTATTATCTATGTCAAATAATAACACACTTTAAATAATTTCTCCTACTAAAATAAATTATTTCTGTGTAAAACGACCAATTTGTTTATTTTTTTTTTCTATGAACAACTTTCCTACCAGAATACTTGTTCCGATTTGTACGTGTAGTAACTTTTCTGAAAGGAAATCGGTATGGGAAAGTTCTTTTTCGATTTTCCGTGGATTTTTATCAACAAATGTAAAAAACTGAAAAAAAAAAACAGGAAAATGGAAGATACGTAGGTATTAGCTAAAAATATTATGGCCTTCTTTTTTCCTGCGGATAATTTTTCTACCAGCAATTTTCTTCCAATTTATAATGAAAGCTATTTTTCTAAAAGAAAGAACTGGAGAGGTAATTTAGAGAGGTCGTTTTTCGATTTTCTCCGGACTTTTCTCAGCAAATGTGAAAAACTGGGAAAAAACATAGAAAAACCGGGAAAAACGTAGGAAAACCGAGAAAATCGGTACAACATTAAACAAATATTATTAAAGAAAATATACATATAAAGCCTAATTAATTATTTTTCTGTAATATGGTATATATATTGTTAACAAAGCATCACTATTCAACTGAACTTCGCTCAGAATCGTTTTTCGTAAGCAATAGTTTATCGTTACTTACAGGTATATATTGAATTACCTATAACAGTAGCTGCACCCGTCTCCATTATCTATCCTAGAATGTTTTTTATATTTAGTCGCGTTTTACATTTTGACTGTGATATATCTGATAATGAATTTTTAATTCGAAACCGGTCATATAATACTCCAGGCGACTCATTCATTCATTTTTTTATTTTTTATTTCTATTTATAAATTTTGTATTAATATATTTATTTACTATATTAAAATATATTAGTAAAATATAACGATTTTTTTTTTCTGTAGACAACTTTTTAACCAGCAATTTTGTGCCAATTTATAATGAAAGCAATTTTTCTAGAAAGAAATTTAACTGGGGAGGTACTTTAAAGAGGTAATTTTTCGATTTTCTGAAGTTTTCATATCAAATGTGAAAACCGAAAAGAAACTGAAGAAAAACTAGAAAATCGGTTAGCTTGGGTATATATAATGCTTATTTAATTATTTTACCATAATATAACATATATATTGTTGAAAAACCATCACTATCTACTGAACTCGGCTCAGAACCATTCTTTTGTTAGCAATGGCTTATCGTTACTTATATCAAATTACTTATAACAGTGGCTGCATCCGACCCGATTATCATAAGATGTATTTTTTTAGATTCGGAGCGTGGTGAGGAATTTATTAGCTTTACTATTTTTTTTTTATCTGTAAACAAGTTTTCAAAAAGAAATTTTGATCCGATGTAAATAGTATAGTATTTTCTTGAAAGGAAATTTTGTCTAGTTACTGCATCAAAAAGGTCAATTTTTTTTCATTTTCTAAGAAGTTTTCGAAATAATTGGGAAAAACCCGAAAGAAAATTATAGGTAAAAGTGTAAAATGGCAAATATTTACAGCACGCCGCGTGACGTTCCAATTTTGTTTTTAATTTTTACAACTTACGTTTTTACAAATTGTAAATATTACGACCTTTCAAAACATGTATAACCGAACTCCGCTCAGAATCTTTTTTCGTTAGCAATGTTAAATCGTTATAATATATCATTGATATACATTAAATTTCCCCTCTACTTTGCCAGCTTCTCATTTAATACAGTGGCCCATCCAATGTGCGAAGTATGTCCGTTTGTTTTTAATTATATTCAATTTCCGCGTCGTCAGAGGTTTAAATAGTTTCAACCAGATCTATATTCTGTGTCTGAAGAAACTCAAGAAATTTACATAATGATTAACTCATACTTCACACGTTCCCCATTCCTAGTAAACAAGCTGCTATTATAAATTCTAGTTGTCTTATAACACACAGTAATAAATTGGTATATCTATATTCCTAATGTTTGATAAAGCTTCCTTATCAAGCCAAGTACAAATTTCTTACAAACTAAGTAGGTATCAATTATTAAATTAAATAACCATGAAGATTGAGAAGTCTTCATGCAAATAACTCGAGGAAAATAATAATTATTTAATCATGTCGGTCTACCCTATCTTGTTGGAGTTGCTGTAATCTCTTTTCTATGTGTCGGGCATAACAGTTTTAAACGGTTATGGGTTGATGAAGAACTTACACAATAATGTGCTTAATATGCTATTCGAATATTGATAGTTAAATATGGTGTTAAGTAAGCAACGAATTTTAACGTTTATTTAATAGATAAGTAATCGTGACTATCAAGTTCCGCAACTATTCATGACTCGTGGTGCACAAGTAGTAGCCACGATATAGAGAGAATCTTCTCTACCACTTCTTAACCTTACTTACCTACCTATAACTAAAAGAAATCAATGGGAGGAGGGTTTACGGCACCTTAAACCCCCTCCCTCGATACACCACTGCATATTCTTATTTAAATTATTTTTCTTATAAATTTAAAATTTATAATAAAAACAACACTAGATCCAAAAGACCTTGCTTATCATTTAAATTTTATCCCAAAAAAAGTTTTCTAATACAATTTCTCCGATATATGGTACAAAATGTTTAATTTAATCGTATTCAACTAGTATAATTAATACGAAGCTTGAAGGCGGTTTTTGGCAATTTTCCGGAATTTTGGACTCCTAAAGCTTTGTTTTACCTTTATTTTACGCAAATTTGTATTCCTGGTTACCGTGACGATTTTTCACATAACACCGTGTCATGTAACATGATTTTCTCCGATTGGTTGAACCACAAGATTCAGTTTAGGTAAATTATAGTTATTTTATCACACGTTACCGCAGTTGAATATTATTATTAATTATTATTAAGAATTGTACATTATGTTCAACTTTTAACCGCATGGTTATATTTACTTTGTTAACAGCTCTGTATATAATATATTTTAATTTTCCGACGACCAGGCAAATTATTTTTTTATCATACGATTGTTTTAATTGTGTAGAATGTAAAATCTTATATTAATACCTTAATAATTGTATTTAATTAATTACTTTTTCTCCACTTCATCCAAATTTTCTTCTACAAAATTACTAATGAAATAACGTAAACTTTTCTTTTAAGTGTTACTGAGATCATCCTCAACTAAAACGTCTAAAATTACAATTATACATTGACTGGTAATGGTAAATAATATTCGTACTTATAATTTTATGTAAATAATTGTAACTGCGACAAAAAGTCCAAAACCGAAAGATTAAAATTATTTTATGCCCATAAATAAAAGTAATTTAATAATAAATGAAAAAATATTAAAATTATAAATAAATTGTCTTAATTGTTAGTTTGTTAATATATTTGAAATGAAACGACGTATTATGAACTCTCCTTGATAGATCAATGGTGCATACTGGTAAAATACATTCAATACAAGGCTGTATTTAGAAAATAATTACTAAACTTAATTCTAAATATTGAAATCTAAATAATAAAAGAAAAAAATCTATGACAATTTCTAAATTTCTATGTTTTTCATTAGTCTACATCTATATTCCTATGAACACTGAAAATTGATAGCCCAGTCAATCTGTCTTCTCCATTTGTATTCCATAGGTAATTATGTATTATTTTTAATAATACATAGTAGAAAATATTACTAAAATGAAATATTGGGGGGAAAATGTTGGACTAGCAGTCTAGAATCCACTTGATTCACGGGAGTCACTTCGATAGATTAGTTTTTTTTTTTTATTTCCATGAGAATTTCTCTTAATTGAAAAAACCAAGAAAAATATTAGTAATTACGCGATAAGGATATCTGTTATCTTCAAGTTTGTTTTCACAAAACACTTATATTAATCCTTTCTATACGTAGTACAATTATTGAAATATTCTTGAGTATGTTTTAGATTTTATGTGAATACAATTATTTGGCTTCTCAAACATTTTCAAAAATTGTATACAATGTTCATCAATGATGTAGGTAAAATAATTGACCTAAGCAACAGACAAAAGAAATTAACAACACTATCTATGTGTTAGGTAATACCAATACGACAATAATTATTAATTATTATTAACTAAATTAAATTAATGGACTTGCACCTATAGTGTTGTTAAATTGTCAATTTTGTTTGATAATCAGATCACGCTAAATAATTTTTAAAATGTACAAAAATAATACTAATTATCTAATATTGATAATATAACAATAATTCATTAACTACCCACCATCCCAGAAACACTAGGTGCAATGGTCCCAAAATAGTCCACATTGATTATACAATACAGTACCTATCTACCTAATAGTTTATTTTATAAGAGTTACATCAGTTAGAAAATTATAATTTTATAGAATCCATTAAAATTTGTCCTTATACAAAAAATTAGTAAGCATTAATTTCCCAAAACTTATTAACTATAGGATATTTAGTTTCTTAGTGTGAGCATTATAAAGCAAATGCAGTAGGATTTAAAGTCATAATTAGTACATCTGAAATAATCTGGTTAGAATTTAATCTAATAATATAGATTTAGAATTAAAGTTAAGCTGTGATTAATATACTTCTAAAATCATTGAAAATCTGAATTGTTGATATGTATAAAATAATTACTTAAAATTAAACTTATAGACTACATATAGTGAACTAATCTAAGTAAATGTATAAACTTAATATTATTTCATTTTTAAAAAATTTATTAAATGGTTTTAAATGATATCTGGAAACTAAATATCCTATAACCGGAAGTAAGAGTGCAAGATGACAGAGATAAAAATATGTCCTTTTGTATATAATATAACCATTTGTATAAAGTGTAAGACACATTATAATAACTCATAAATAATTCAACAATAATAAATCTCAATTCAATCATACAATCAATAATTGTTTTGTGTAATTTTTATAAATTTATTAAAAAAAAAAAAATTACACTTTTAAGCAATGTAGAAAAAATAAAAGAATATTGGTTATATGACATTAATACATATTATATAACATGTACATGTTATAGTAATAGAATATAATATTATTTGTAGGCCTAATTATTTACTTTAGACTGATACATAAAAATTGTTTCATAGTTTTCTAATAACATAAAATATCAATAAATTGTCTTAGTAGGTATAATGAAATTATAAATATTTTAAACAATAATAAAATGTGACATAATTCATAATGGTTTTTTTTCAACTAAAAATATGATTGTTATAATATTATATAGCACATTATTTATTAAATTTTAGTTTATTAGTTATCTTTAACAATCTACCAATGGACGGAAACAATATTGCACTAACAGATATTTGATAAATAAATCACTAAATTTAAATAAAGATGAAACATAAGTACTTACTAAACACAGATGGTTCACATCATACTTAAGTTGTTTCAATAATATAATTTGAGTGTTTATGTATAAAAATTGCTTAAATATTTCTATTATACAATGGTAATTGGTATTTACAACAATAATTGCATCGAGTACCTAATATTCAATTTGTACAACTAATTTCTCAATAAAAAAATAACAAATTATTAAAATAAACCAACATGTAAAAAAATTATAAAAATATATTTTATGTCCTTAATTAATTTTTATTTTTCTGAATTTACTTTGTAAGCAACTACAGTAGCATGATCTAACTTTCCTGGCACTCCAAATGTTTTTCTAATAATTTCTTTTCTTTTTTGTCTGACTTCTCCTTGAGCCAAAGGTTTTCCATTAGCATCAGCATATATTTCCATATCTTCTAATATACGACGTTTAGCTGCAGTTAATCTAGTTACAAAATCTAACAATAAAGTCACCAAGTCTTTAGCGGTATTTACTGCAGGACCTTTGCCAGATACTCCGTTCCGAATCAAATCTTCTGTTCTGAGGAGAGATAGCTTATGTCTTTGATATGCTTCAACATTAGGAAGTCCTAACAAATATATATATTTTAGTAAAATTGCATATATTGTTGTAAAAACAAAATCCTAAAGTTATGTTCAGTTATATTTTTAATTAAGAACATAATATGTTAAAGTGAAACCCAAACTGTGAAACTAAAATCATTATTCAAACTACTATTTTTGATTTTTGAATTGTACCTTACATTATAAATTCTCTCAATAGATGATGTTTTAGTTAAAATATATTTTGGTATTGAAATTTTTAATTTCCATTAACTAATTTAATTTAATTTCCGCCCTGTACATACCAAACTCAAATACATGTATGTGCACTGGGTTAGGTTAGGTAAGTCTGGCAAAAACTCACTGGTATTGATGTTTTTTCTATGTTCAAACTTTTAAGCGAGATATGAATATGTGAAATATCTTAATTCAAAAATGATAACCCAACCTTTAAGTTTGGTAATACGTTAATTCGCTTTAAGATTAAAATTAACAGCACAAAATTTGCCCTAAACGCAAATTTTCTTTTATGTTTGCATGTTTGTAAGGCGGGGACCATGCCGGTATTGCGTTTTAAGGTACGCATTTTATATGTGATCGTTTCCAACTCGCGTCAACGTAGCGCATCAGTGCTGCGTAGTTATCCTGCGTTTACACATTAAAAATGTCGAAACATGTGGGTTTTCATCAACCGAGGATGAAATATTAATTGGATTTTGTTAATTGAATAGTATTTTAAATAGATACTGCCTAGCCGTTTTTGTATTTATACTTATATATGACATTACAATTTAAGATTAATACCTAGTCACGCAATTATACAAATATTTTGTCAAATCTCTATGATAAACCATTACTTACGAAAAAACGGTTCTGAGTGGAGTTCAGTTTATAGTGATGCTTTGTCAACAATATATATGCCATATTATAGTAAAATAATTAAATGGGCTTTATATATTTTCTTTAATAATATGTGTTTTATGACGTATCGATTTTCCCTATTTCCCTAAGTTTTTCCCGTGTTTTATACCGGTTTTTCATAACTGCTAAAAAGACTCCAGAGAAAATCGAAAAATGACCTCTTTAAAGTACCTCCCTAGTGAAATTTCCTCTTAGAAACATTGCTATCATTAAAAGTTGGAACAAAATTGCTGGTCGAAAAGTTGTGCACAGGAAAAAAATAGTAATATTTTAGTAATGTATTTCGTACATTTTCCCGTTTTTTTTCGGTTTTTCAAATTTTATGAGAAAACTCTTGAGAAAAACGAAATACTTTTTTCAAAGTACCTCCCCACACTGCATTCTTTTCAGAAAAGGTGCTACACTCAGAAATCCGAGCAAGTCTTCTAGTAGAAAAGTTGTGAACAGATAAAAAATAAATAAATATCTTTATGAAACCATAAGCTTATTGGCTCTAAAACACGTGTATATTAGATCACAATTGCGCAAAGCACTAGAATTTCAGTGAACGCTGTTGATCGAAGAAACAAAAACGACTACGCCGAGACGCATGCAGAGAAAACGGACGAACGTTGCGTCTAGACGTACACAAATTATGCGTTTGAACGATGCAGGGAAAATCTAGACCTTCAGATGGCTCTTAGTAGCTATTGTTTAAGGGGCAGAATTTAGGCAATTTCTATTCGTAAATGATCATTAGCGTTGAGTGCGGTTTACCTGTGTACTACCACCCACCGCGCCATCATAGTATCAGGTACTATAATAGTAGGTCACATTTTTTCGCATTGTTTTTGAGTATATTCATAATAATTCAATAATTAGTGTAAACATAAAACTAGTTTTATATACCTGTGGGATTTTTATTATGTTCTGTTCCTACTGTTATTGAATGGTCAGTACTTTACAAATAAAAGTCTTTGACTAAGTGTTCAAATTTGTCGTCTATTATTATAAAAATAAAATGGCGTTTTCATCACAGATACTAAAATATATACATTCTTTGTTTCATTCTGAATGTACAAACGAAGTTATAAAAAAAATATTTGTATAATGAAGAAATTAATTAAAAATATTCGAAATATTTGAATAAGTACATTTTAATATTTTATACAATAACTAGATATTGAGAGTAAGGTTTTATACAATAATTGTTCTGAATAAAAATAACACAACAATAACTTATTTTAAATTCTGAGTGTAGTTCTACGTATTGGTTTGTAATGGTTAAAGAAAATAGTAAATAAAGAGTTGGACATACAAATATAAATTTAATTATTCCATGTTTTTATATTACGGATAGTACTTGCATGAAAATAAAAAGTTTAGTCGATAATATTGTATTTTATGTCTAGGTATTCACCAAGGTCTTAGATTATTCATAACAATAGATTTTAATCCCCAGACTGCAGGACGTGATATCAAGTTATCAAACGCACACTTACAAATATTTGTCTACTTATGTGACAATGAATAATGCCGAAAGTAAAAGAAAAATAAACTTACTTCTAGGATCCCAATTTTAATTATGAAAAATATTTTGAACTCGTTGGCCTTTTATCTATATTCTTTAGGAAATTAATTTTCAATAAATTGTGTAGTATGATAACAAACTAATTTACTTTATTTCTCAAAATGAACTTGACTTAGAGTTAATAAGACAAAGGTTAAAAATGTTTTTCTTACAAAACAGAGAGAAGTTATAAATTTAAATTATTTTACAAAATTAAAATTAGACTTCAATAAGTATGTTTACTTTTTTCTTGCTTATTGGTCAAAATGGAAGAAAATCCATTCACTTAGAACCCCCCTAATTTAAAAAAAAGCTAAGAATATAATATACATACCAGTAAAATGTCCGACAACAGGATCTAAATTATCTGATACACCATCAGAAGTAATAAATACAATATCATCTAAATCGACTTGTGTTATTGACAATGTTAAATTTGACAATTCCGGGTTATGTCCATCTACAGGACCTAGAGCTCCCATTACATCTCTCATGTCTCTCATTCTATGAACATCGTGTGAACCTTGGGTAAGTTCTCGTACACCATATTTAGGACTGTATACATATCCCAAACTATCACCAACATTACAACAACAAGCTACATAATGATTATCGACAGTAGATGGAAGTACAACAATTGCTGTAAGGGTAGTCAAAGTTCCTTCTTCTTGTAATATCATATTATGTGCAGCATGGAATGATCTCAATAACGTTACGAGAACATCCTATAATAATAAAAAAGGTTTTTTTTATGATTTGTATGTTATTTATATTGCCATACAATATATTTTGTAATCAGTTTAAAAAGTATTAAATGTAACCTAACATAATAATTTATTTTTATTTTTTAGTGAAAATAATAGAAATACAAAATTAACGATTTTAAACAATAAACAAATTGTATTTACTTACTGTAGTGTTTTTATGTGTTTCCTTATTTGTTGGAAATAATGTTTTATTTAAATAATCAACACAACCATGCACAGCAGATCTAGCTGCTGTTCTTGACTTAACACCCCAATTAACACCATCAGCTAATACCATAATAGCAGAATTTACTCTGGTGATAATAGCGAAACAATCAGCAATCGGATCACCAGTATGACGATGTGTTATAGGATGCACTTCGTATAAGGAACAACTAGCACCAAACCCATTTATGTGTGGAATATTCCAGTTTTCAACACCAGCTATCAATGGACGCCCTATACATTTTAGAGACTATTAATACAATTATAACATCCAATAGAACTTTATTAAAACTTACTAAGCTTTTTTAAGATATTTGGTTTAGATTCTACATTCAAAGTTCCGTCAATTATATCATTAGTTGACGAACTAACTTTTTTTTCCCCATCATCTAAAAATAAAACTATATTATTTAAATCTAACATAAAATACAAAATAATTTAAATTAAATTATTGTAAATGGTATACCACATTCGTCTTCTAGATTATCAATAAAATTAATTTCTGGATCACTTGCTGATAGGTGTTTTTCTGTTTGGTTAACAGACACAAGGCCACCGTGAGGCCCTGTCAAAGATGAAACCACTTCATAATTTTGAATGATACCTAATTGTTGAGGTGGTACTTCCTGCGGTGTTCTTCCATGTAATATAACAGGTTCATATTTTTGGATTTCATGACTGAAATTAATGTTAGTATTTAGTACTTTAGGTATACTAAAAATGTTATGTGTACATATATTTACCCGCTGAGATACTTTTTAATAAAGCGATTTGAAGCGTTCTCATCATTTCTTGATTCTGACGGTGCAGAGAATTGTCTAAAAAATCCAGAAAACTTTTGTCTGAATGATGGCATAATTTTACTTTTTAGAACAATTAAACATTTAATTTCATGACTGTACAAATTATTATTGTTCGATTACTTTATTTTAATATTGGTTACATGAGATAATAGTCATTATTTTTTTGGTAAACACTACACTTAAGAAATAAATTGAATGAATAAATATTTAATAGGTAACAGTAATAACATGGATATTGAATACTAAGTAGTAAGTACTGAATGAAAATGTATTTTTTTTTTATCATAATCAACTGATTATATGAATACTGTTGAAAACTGATATGGATAGGAGACAGGGGTGACTAAAGTAGATATATTCTTAGAAAGTCACTGAACTTAATGTAGAAAGTACTCATAGAAAAGATTAGACCACAAATTGAAAAACAAAACAATCATTCAAAATATTGTTTATTTATACGTCATGTAAATATCTATTGAATGTCACATTTAAATTATAAATACCTAAAATATTATACTACAATGTTGAACAATTAATAGTATTCATTTGTAAATAAATAACACGTGATATGTGAAATTAATGCAAACCACTGGATTTAATTTCATTATTATTATTAAAAACAAACTTCTTAACACATTAATAGATACCTAAATATTTAATTATACTACATTATTAAAACTTCAAATTTGTATACATTTTATAGAAATGTTTAAACATTTAAAAAAAAAAATTGATTTTAATATTATTAGTTAAGACTGTAAATGTATTTATTTTTTTTTATTTATAAAATAATATAATATAATATAATATAAATTAAAATTAAAATAATAAGAAGAATATGTATGTAAACATCCCAACATTATTAAAACAATGATTATGAAAATTGGTTTTCACTTTTTGGATACAATATTTAGTAGCTAATAAATGGTGTAATTAGATTGAAGTGGTGCATGAGACTATTAATTTAGTCTTTGTAGATTATAATTTATAAGTATGATATAGTTTAAATTATCAAAATCATTTATATATAGAACACACATTTTTTTTTTTTCATTCAATAGAAACACTTTAGTTGACCTTATATTTATATTACTATCATTAATACAATAGTAAAAATAACTTAGTATCAAATGAATGAATTATAAAAAAAAAAAAAAAATATACATGAACATCTCAAAATACTACTGATCCAATAGGTTCTGCTCTGATTGCACTTAAATCAATTGTGGAATCTACTGTTTCATCAACTTCACCAATAATAGCTCTGAAAAAATATAACAAATATTTTTAATTAAAAAATGTACACAAATGAAATGTACGCAAAATATTCTTACACATTATCGCCACGAATAAGATGCAAGCCTAAAATAACCTGTTCAACACCTTGATTTGTGCTATACACTCGTTCATGGCTGTCATCTAAAATTATATTTATAGTTTGATCAAACCCTTTAAGTGTTCCCTATTTGAAAAATAAAATAGTTAGTTGTAAATCATTAGTAAATTATACTATTTATATTTGTTTATATTTACCACAAAGTTTCTGCCATCTGATGTTATAATAGAAACTGTATCTAACATTATACAGATAAGGAAAATAATACATTACATCAAATATAAAAATAAATAGATATTAGACAAGAACATAAATTATATTTACAATTTAATTATTTTAAATAACATTTATTTTCAACCAATAATGTAGCAATGCATTTTACAAGAAATTTGTTTTAAATTTTAATCAAAGGATACGATTAACATAGCTCTCCAATCCTGAACTCATTTTACAGTGTACACTGGTATACAAGAAATTAAAATAAGCTGAAAATAAAAGTATTTGAAATGTGTTAAGTAATAGTTGGGTAGGTAGGTTAGTAACAGTTAGGTACCTGTAGATGAGTGTCAAGTATACAATATTTAATACAGTCACAAAATTACTATTCTGATATTTATTTACAATAAATTACATATGTACTTCACTTGCGCGGGTGTGCAGTTTTATAATTAATTTGATAACACTAATAATTAATGGATTCTTATTACTATAAATTCCTAATTTTCACGTTCGATAAACAAACTAGAAACTAAATAAAACTGTACACAAAATCAAATCGCGGTTTACTTGATTTTCGGCGTTAGAATGATAAGAAAAATATTATCATTAATATTTTCATGAGTGTTATTGGTCAATAATATTATCTATGAATTACTTTAGTTGATATCACTATCATGAACACTGAATTTACCATAAATAATGAATATTGTCTTTATTATCTGTGGCCAGTAACGAAAGAGGGGCAAGCTTGGCAGACATGTTTTCGCGGATACTACTATAATATTAAAATTTATAATTATACATCTATACATACAAACCATTGAATACATAGTATAATGTCTATGGTACAAACCGACTTCTAGGGTGAATAATGCGTAATTCTGTGATTATTAATTAGTTTCATAATTGTTTTCTATCTTTAAAATTCAATATTTTTGTAAATTTTAAAATTTACATACAACCGAATATATTTGTAAAATTATTTAGTCATGGAAATATTGCCACAGTTAATTGTATTCGATTTAGGTAAGATTATATAAATATAAATTGATATAAATCTAATTTACGACCCAAGCCTGTTTTTCAAATTTTTTTTTGCAAAATGTGTTTTTGCCTTTACATTAAGAATTTAAACAAAAAAATCGGACGAACTTCGTTTGGAAATTATGGGGGAAAAGTTCACGAAGTTCGCATTTTCCATTTCGCGTATTTTTTAGTTAGAATTTAACATTTTCAATTTATTTTTTTTCCAAAATGTGTAATGCTTACTCCATTGGTATAATCAAAACTTACCCATCATACTTATTTTACAAAATCTTACCCACTTATAATGCTTTTTCACTTTACCCTGTTTCATACCGGATGTGGTTTTGCACAACAGATCGAGGATTATTTTCGATTAAAATTGAGTGAGAGCAGAAAATCCGAACTTCATGAAGTTTTCCTCCATAACTTTCAAACAAAGTTCGTCCTCATTTTTTTAGATTCTTAATGTACATTTAATATTACACATTTTGAAAAACGAGCTTGGGTTGTAAATTAGATTTGTTCCTGTTTTTTTTAAATATTTACTTGGTTTTCCCCATCCATTGCAAATTGATTTGATATTGAATTTTTTTATTCTGTTACAGATTTAACACTCTGGCCATTTAGAACTGATCAATGTAAAAAACCTTTTCAACTTGTTTCCTCGTAATAACTCGTAGTAATTAAGTAACAACAAAAAACACAATTTTAACTTAAATAATATTTTACAGTGGAAAAGTAAAAGATTTAGATGGAAATGTTTATACATTATATCCTGAAGTGATTGATATATTATTGGGATTGACTAACAAAAATTATACATTAGCAATAGTATCTAGAATTAAAGATATTTGTACTGCTTACCAATTACTAATTTATTTTAATATATCACATTTTTTCAAGTATAAAGAAATTTATCCTTGTGTAAAAACAGTTCATTTTAATTGGTAAGTATCCAAATTATTTTTCATACTCATTTGTAATATTTATTTATTCTAAATGGTTAATTGTATTATTATTAAAACTTTTATTAACCTAGGTTAAATTTAAAAAGTCTTATACCATATGGTCAAATGATATTTTTTGATGACGATAAACGAAATATTCACAGTGTAGCAAAACTAGGAGTACATGCATACCATTTAAAGGACAATAAAGGAATTTCACTTGATCATTTACAACAATTAAACATTAATATTTAACTGTAATATAGTTTCACAAATATAATTTCATCTCGGTGAAAATATAGTATTATTTATAAAAAAGAAAATATATTTAATATTTATATGCAATAGAATCCGCTTAATGGGGCACAATCCATTGGTTATAAGGTTATGTATATATATAAACATATATATCTATTAATACCTACTTTCTTATCTAATCTGTATGCCCATAAATTTTATATTTTACGTATTTTTTTCTCCTATTAACATGTAGGTTCCTCAAAGATAAGAATCAACTAGCCTATAACCTGTTTCAAAAGAAAACATACCAGCTCAACTTTCAGCTCTGTTTATTAATGTATGTTTTTCATTAAATCAGCTAATTGGGACAGTTGGATATTGGAAACAAATAGATTATCGCCCAATTTTTCCCGATTGAGTGGATTCTGCTGTATATGATGTGCAACATACTTGAAGACATTTTTAAGTTAAATCATAAAATATATTTTAGTATAAAATAAATTTTTTACTATAAATAATTTATATTTCAGTAAAATATTATTTAATTAATTTGAAAGCAATTGGTTTTTTTTTTACACAATTGTATTTATAGAATCTAAATATTATGAAACTTTATTTTCATAATCATTGAATGTAGTCGTTAATTACCATTACAAACTATTTTTAAAATTCAATTTACTTCTATACGGGCAATCCAGATGCTTTGTCGCTCAATAGTCTCTAATAGAAAGAATAACAATAATAAATACATAAATAATAATTATATTTTAAAATTAACCATACATACTTTAAATAAAGAAGCAGATTGACAAAATGTAAGACCCACATTACGTACTAATGTTGTGATAGCGGATGGTATCAAATTGTTTTTACTACCGTAAACTTTTTGAATACCATCAATACCTAACATAATTGGTAAATTACGACGCTGTACTACAGTCTGATAATTCAGAAGTGTATTCAAATCTCCTATGGAAACATAATTATTCTATCAATTCATATTCTTGTATAATTTAAATATTAAAACTACAAACCAATATCAGCGCCTTTCATTACTGATTTGTTAAGTTGATCACTAAGTTCTATAACATCACTGAAACCTAAATTAACTCCTTGACCTGCCAGTGGATGTATTCTATGTGCAGCATCTCTGGGAAATAAATTTAATAACAAGTCTACAATTTTTAAATAATACTAAAAATGAATGAAAAGAATTATTATTACTCACCCTACTAAAGCAACACGCTGGCCAACATATTGACATGCATGTCCAAAGCCTAATGGAAATGATGCTCTACTTCCCTGTGTTACTCCTGTAACAATTGGTGGAATATATTTTACTGTGTTATGTTGGTCATATTTATCTTTTGACTGACAACATTTATTGAGTACTGTAGACATTATTCTAGTTACATTATCTGCTAAAAGCAAACTACTATTGTTTGATTCCTTTTCTTCCTAATCAATACATCACAGTTAATGTAAAACAATAAATAATAATAATACAAGTAATTACCGCTAAAACACCATTTAAAGCTTCAATAAATTGGTTGTCACTCAAACTTAATAAATGCTGTGCCTCTTCAAAACTAGTTGTCCATACTAGTGAACACATTTCTTCATCCAACTATTTGAATGACAATAATGCAACACAATAAAAAGTTTTTATCATCTTTATAAATAAAATACATTAACAACTCACGGGTAATAGTGCTACTGGACCTAACTGAGCAAATTTTTGCCAAGCCACATGCCCTCTGTAGATATCCTATAATATACAGTAAATATAGTAATAGCTTTCATTATTTTGGTAAACAAATATTGTACATTGTCAGTCTGTAGGTGCAAAGTTGCTACAATAGCACTCTGTCCATACTCCCAACTAATATATTGCTGACCGCTGATAGTAGAACGCACTTTTGAACCATATCCGTCTGAACCAATCTAGAAATATAGATTATCATAAACAAAATATATTCCTACCCACTGTCATTATAATAATATATTCAACTCACTAATAAACTAGTTTCAAATGTAGTCTCTCCATTGGCAATTTTCACAGTGGCCAATTCTTTAGGCGTTTCAGGCAAATTACATTGATTAACACGCGAATCATACTGTACAGTTATATTTTGATCGTTATGAATTTGTTTATATAGAGCACCAAGTATGGTGTCATTTTCAACAATAAATGCTAAATCATTATCATTATCAAATGTTAACATGTTATTCACTCCTCCACTTTTACCTCCGCCACAATTCCATATCTAAAATTAAAAAACAAATTTCAAACATTTTATTACAATAATTATATTTACAAAATCCACTTACTCGCATTTCTTTGACTGCATTACAAGCTCCTATATCTTCAATAATTTGCCACGCACCAACTGATTGTAAAAGCTGTACACTTGACTTATTTACAGCAGAAACTCTATTACTGTAAAATTTGCTAGGTACATTTTTTTTTGTATCCAATTTATACTCTTTATGCGGCCCTCCTTCTAATAGAAGAATGGAAACACCACGTAATGCAGATTCTTTGGCTAAAATTATTATTTTGTTTAAACTATAGTTAACTTAAATTGAATTAATTATAGTTACATAGTTTGCAAGCCATTGCACAACCCACCATACCACCACCAGCTATAATGATATCATAGAATTTTTGGTTTACTAGGGAAGAATATAATCGGTTGGTTGATGATTTGAATGCCATCATCTTTAAATGTGGAGGTGACATAAAAATCATTCTATAATAAATTTTACCAACTAATTCTCAAACCTAATCTAAAATATAGAAAACAGAGTATTTACATAGAGTTATTGAAACATTTTAATATCACTCACAATAATATGTTCACGAATTAAATATTTTAAAAATTCATCAATAGCAACAACTTTTATACTTTACTAATCTCACTACAAACAAAATTCAACGTTTAAATCTTATGAATTAGTAAATAGTTATCACTAAGATATTACCAGATGATAGATGTAATAATTCACATTGAATAACATTCAGTTAACTGTTAAGTTTTCATTTTGTTATGATTAATGTTTTGTAGTACGTGTGCTCCTAGCGCTTTCATAATTAATATACCAACTCTCCTAAAAATCATAGAATAATATTATTAATCTATTCTTCTGAAATAATATTCCATATTCCTTTATACTATCTATGTAATATCTATTCTATTGTGTGTTCAGCTTCGGATATACAAAACTGCTATATGTAAAATTACTGATTTCTCTACACAATCAGTGTATTACAATAATATTGAAGCCGATCGCCATATTTAATGCGGGGTATGGGTATATCGGTTATCATATAGGTACCTAATGATATTAACATTGTGACAAAATAGATTAATATCAAAATTATTGTTAAATTACTAAGATATCTTAGTAACGATTTATGATCTTATCCTAGTAGGTACAGCTATCTTATCCACAGACTAAAATATATCTTATCTCATTTATTGGTACGTATCACGGACTAAGATATCTTAAAAACCTACATAGTAGGTATGTTATCTAGGCATGAATAAATTCGATACATTCAATTCAACAATAACCAATTAAATATTGAACAATTTTTAAAGGCAATAAATAATAATATGCAAAAATCAGGTTTTTGAATAACTACATAATTATTTTTGAATTTTTTTAAATTTTTTTCTGGCCATCTTTTCTATATAAAATTTTTTTTTTAAGTTGCCAATAAATGTGTTTTTTCCCGGGTTTTTTTCTATGTCGTTTTTGGTCAGGGACGTTTTCATCTTCAATTCCTATGTACACATATATATTTTTATTATGCTATGTAGGTATGTCAGTATGTCAGCATTCAGCAACTTTGTGATACGCGTATAGAACCATTATCACGTTAACCGGTTATCGTATAGACCATAATCATAGAGTAATTACCATAGATATATACAACAATGTTTTACATATCTATGGTAATTACTCTATGATTATAGTTGCTAAAAGCGAAAGACGAAAGCCGGCCATCCATGTTTGCGCGGAATCAGTGTCTGTTAACGTTGATATTACTATCATATCTATTCATTATGTCATGATACAATACTACAACCCATAGGGCGTAATATTTCATTATTGTTGATATTTAATAATACAATTATTAAAATAAATTGATTTATGACACAACTGTTTGTTTTTTTTTTTTTTTTTTATGGAAGTATTGTTCATAATACAAGATAGTAATACAACTCTATAACTGGTTTAATCCGTAATTGATTTATTGAATATGTTTATGTTTATTTCTGAACCCATATATACTTAATTTAATTTAATTTACCAAATTCAAAAACCATTCGTCTATACTTCAACCAATTTAATCATTGTAACATTTTGTAATGACTTTAAAAATGATTTAATTTTGCAATAGTAAGTAAAATTAATTAATATAAAAAAAAATTAATATACTACATAGGTAACTACTTAATTTATGAATTTCTTAACTAATGTTAAACTGGTACATTATTACCCAATAAATGTAAATATTCTAAGAACACTCGTTATTTATTAATATCTATTTGTACCTAGTTTATAAATATTACCTATCTAATCAGTATAAGAAAGAAACCAGTTAGAAGAATAATCTCATATATATTTATTAGTTTTAGTGTATTTAAATAAAATACCAATATTAATTGTTACTACATATTTTCCTTTTTGATTTTTACTAATTTAATAGTTATGTTTTCAGTATTATTGATTGGACAAAACCAAAGAACTTATATTTTTATTTGAAACTTAACATGAATTTTACAAATGATATTTATTACAACGAAATATTAAACTGGTATGTATTAAAGTTAATTAGTTCTATAAGTGAATATAATATTATTAATATTTCATGTATAGGTTTGTGTAAATTTAAATACTAATATAGTTATTTGAATTAAACCTAAAATATTACCTAGATATATTATTCAATTTTACTATTACATTTAGTCTTAAAAATTATATTACTATTTTCATCTAAGTTTTCCTGAAAATGGAGAATATTACACTGTATTGTGTCCTACAGTGTTATCCATATGCTTATAACTCAATAGATATTAATTTTTTTTTTCAATCGGGTTTTGTGTTAGGAAGACACAAAAAACTTTTTTTACATTATCAAAATAGGCAATTTGTAAAATATATTGTTCTAAAAATTTAAATGTATCATACACTGATATCCTATCAATATTTTCTTAATAATAGTTATTTTAATATCTAAAGAAAGATGTGAAAATAAGACTACCATATTACGTGATAGCGTAATAGAGTGGTAATAAAAGATAAGAAATATTGAAATTAAAACAGCTATTACTAAGAAACTATCGGCTATAAATGCATGATACATTAAAATGTTTAAAATAATGTATTTTAAAAATTTTAAAAAGTTTAAAAAAATAATGTTTTTTTTTCATTGATAAAAGGATGAAAATAAAATTGTAATTTTTCTCTACATTTGTGTCCCCCTGACACAAAACCTGATTGAAAAAAAAAATAAATATTGACATATGTTATTAGCACATAGATAATACTGTAAGATACTTTAAATAGTTTGTTTCCCAGTACATTTAGACACATATTGGCTCCTTCTGGACCAATGAGCTCAAACGCAAAAATTATAATTTTTTTTGTAGATGGATTAAAGTAATATAATTTTAGTTGAATTTCAGTATAAAAAGTGTGTTTTTTTTTTTAATTTGTACACCCCTACAGTCCCCCTCAATGAAGCTAGGGAAAAGCTATTTTATATATACATGGTATAAGTATCAAGGATGTGCTTTTTGAGTATTTAAATTTTCAACATCCGCATCAACTATTTTTATGTTCAGATTTCATATTATCACAAGAAATATCTGGTTTTAATTACCCTTACAGATTTATAAAATTAAGAAACTTGATTAAAATCTGTATATATAAAATTTTTGTCAAGAATATGTACCCTTTGAAGGTTTAAACTTTCAACTCCCAACTCACATATCTGTTTTTTTTTTTTTTTTTATCTTGAAAATTACTTTAACTATTTTAACAAACCTATTATTATGTATTTCTGTAATTCCTTATCATTATAAAAAAATAAAAAATTCAGAATACTGTAATAGGAATAAACTGGGAAAAAATTATAGTAATTGATGTACTTATGTGTTTTTTTTTTTTATAGAATTTAATATTCCAATTTATCAGTTTCTTATTTTATGAGTTTAAATAAATCGGACAAAATGCCTTCGTTGGACGCTAATGTTGTAAAGATTGCAGTTGAAATGGAATCTGAAAATCCTCAACTCAAAGAATTCAATCAAAAAATACCTTTGACAAATATTATCCAGGATCTATGTAGTGGTTGGGACTTAATTGATCCTGAACAGTATGCTTTAAAATTTTCTGAAAAAACTAATCAAAATTATGTCACTGAAAAAAATAGAAATGAAATTAAAAATGGTTCCGTATTAAGATTGGCATTTTCCCCTTCGAAAATTGCTCATGACATTCTGCAAATACTTCATTCTGAAGGTAATGATGATAGAAATGAAAGGACATCTGCTTTGCAAAAATTATCAGAATGCAGTACGGATATTACATTTGCTCTTGAATTCATTAATAAACAAGGATTAGCTCTCATTATTAGTTTAATTGAAAGAGGTAAAATTAACTACACCATTTTGTTTTTGCATTTAAATTTAATTATTTTCTTTCAGGAAAGTGTCAAGGGGCGATGTTAACTTATGCATTAGCTTCATTTGTTGAATTGATGGACCATGGAATTGTATCTTGGGACATTTTAGAAACTCCATTTATCAATATGGTTGCCAGCTATGTTAATAATCAAACATCTAGACCACAGGAAGCAAAAGTTGTAAAATCTTCACTATCTATATTAGAGAGTATTGTATTGAACAGCTCTGCCAAATATGGTCAAGTAGAAAAAGAAGTAGGATTTCCAAATTTAGTACTACGGCTTGAAAATCAAAATCCTATCATTCAACAAAATGCACTTTCTTTGATTAATGCTTTATTCTTGAAAGCTGATCCATCTAAAAGAAAAATTATTGCTAGTACCTTATGTACTAAACAAGTTCGTAATGTTATACTTCAAAATATCATACAGACATCATCTGGTGAGGTTGGATCTGAAATGGCTCATCAACTTTATGTGATGCAAACATTGTGTTTCGGACTACTTGAAGAAAGAATGAATACCAAAATGGACCCACAGGATCAAGATGCTCATGAAAAAATTAAGGTGCCCATTTATATTTTATTTATTAATATTATATTTATAGCCAATATTAATAGTTTTAGAATCTCTAATGTAATCAATTACTATCATATATTTTTATTAAACTATCTTTTTTAAAATTTAGGAGTTACGCAAAATTGCATTTGAATTGGATACTATTACTGGTGGTGATACTAATCGACGACAACTTGGGCCATTCACCAAAGATTATAAAAAACTGGGCTTTAAGTATGATATAAATCCTGCATTAGATTTTACAGAAACTCCACCTGGAATGTTAGCTTTAGATTGTATGGTGTATTTTGCTCGTAATCATGTAGACGCTTATACAAAAGTAAGAATTTTAAATATTAAAATATAATATATATTTTACTAACCGATCCATTTCAGAATATACAAACTAAGTATACTTATATTGTAATTACAATCAGGGTTTGATTAAACCACAAATAATATTTATAGTTTGGACTTTTACCAATTGAATTTAGTAAATCTTAAAATAAACAATTAGTGTTAATAAAAGTCTAATATTTCATTTATTTTTTTTTTTTTCCATTAATTTTGTTCTTTTTCACAAAAACTTGTACTCTATACTTTTATTTGTATTCAATTATTATAATATTATACATGAATTAAAAAAGTAAAAACCAGATAAAAATAAAAATTTATTATTTTAGTTTATTTAATACTACAAAAGTATAAACAGATTATGGTTACATAGAGTGATTCACTAATGGTGTTCACTCCATTTTTTTTGCATATATTCAAATTCTGATTTTTGGAATTATTAGGTTTAGTTAAAGCCGATATTTTAAAATACTTAGATTTTCACAAGATTTAAGGAGTATTCAGTAAAGCAGTAGTCTTCAATCAAACTCATGACCCAATTTTTTAGGCACACATTTTTTGCGACCCACGTAAGACTGATTGTACACCTTAAGAGCAAAACTACGTTTGTAGAAAAACAAAACAAGATTGAATACATAAAAACTACATTGTTAACGAAATAAATGAAAAAAACTTTATAACAAATACGTTAACATGACTAGAATAATAACGCAACTAACATTTATAATACTTCATCTTTAAACACAGCAACAACATCAATAATGTTCATAGATTATGGGACTCTCACGATTACTAGCTTGGTTTACTCGTAAATTTTTATATTCAATTTCATACTTCATAGAATCATACTAGTATATGAAACATACACTGTGATTTGATATCCATTATTATATTATATTATAGAATATAAATTTTATAATATTGTTGATATATAATATACCTATTACAATAATTTTTAAACTATATTTTAATTTATTGAGCGTGACGCAGAGCACCACAGCCTTCATTAACGAAGCGAAAACCATAGGGCTGAATGTAAATGATAATAAAACCAAAGTGATGGAGTTATTACCTGAAAACAACCAGGTAGACAATGTAGTGATTCAAGGGCATACATTTGAAAAAGTGCATCAATTTACATATTTGGGGACCTCTGTCAGTGGTAATAATGACTTCAAATTAAATAGTCGAATCATCAAGGCAGAAAAGGCATCTATATCATTAACCAAATACCTAAAATCTAAACTGTTTTCTAAAAGAACCTAAATACATCTCTACATGGTGATGGTTAGACCGACACTAACATATAGATGTGAGGTATGGCCTTTAAGAAACAGAATGAAACAAAAACTTATGTCGTTCGAAAACGAAATACTGAGAATCATCTACGGTCCAGTATATGACAATGACCTGAGATGCTGGCGCAGAATAATGAACAGAGACCCGAGAATTGGCAGGAGTACCAAGGATAACCAACTGTGTAAAAGCACAAAGAATAAAATGGTTTGGGCATGTGATGAGGTCTTACTCAGAGTACCTTAAAGCGGCAGTGAAATGGAAACCCACAGGGAAGAAACCAAAAGGAAGTCCAAAGAAGCGATGGATAGATGGAATAAACCGGGACTTAAAGAAACTAGGGATACCAAATTAGGAAGAAAAGTACAGAATCGAGAAGAATAGAAGGTTCGGTGGCAACAAAAACTCTTGAAGAAATGTGATGTCAATGAAAAGAGATTTTCATTTATTAATTTTCTAAGTTTAGTAACAATTATTTTTATAACGTATATAATTGTATAAAGTTAATTTTTATTTTAAAAAGAAATCTTATCGCGATCCAATTTTAAAGTTTACTCCACCAGTTGAAGATCACTGCAATAAATTATCATTTGTGTGGCGGCACGGCAGGTAGCGTTTAAGTAGTGTCTCATTACTCTCCCCTATCTAAATTTAGAAGTAGAATATCTTGTCCCCGGGTTGACAGAAATCAAAAATTTTAGCACCAAATTTTATTTAAAGTAATACTCGCGTCTATTTATGGAATTTTTAATATAGGTTTGAAAAAAAAAGTTGGTATAACCACAAGATACTCTTTAAATGTTATGAAAAAACTAAGTATTCTAAAATATCGATTTTAACTACACTTAAAAATTCGAAAAATCAGAATTTGAATGAATACATGCAAAATTTAACCAGAAAAATGGGGTGATCATGTTAGTGAATCACTCAGTATATTATAACAAAAATGTATATTATGATGATTAAAATTATTATTATATCATATAACTACAAAAAATTGAAATAATTATTAGTAATAATTAAGTATGTTTTAATTACAAACATTTTTATTTATTATGCAGGCTTGTGACTACTATGGGATATAGAGTTGTATAATTGATTTTCTGATTGACATTTATATACTAATTATGTATAAAAGTATTTCAATTATTTTTTTCTTCAATAACTTCATTTAAAAGTTTGTAAAACATTATTTTAAGCAACATACTGTACACAGTATAGGTACTTCCCGCAACAATTATTACTAATAGATTTGCATATCAATTTACTAAAATATTAAAACTGCTCTATAAATTTGATAAAGACATCAATGTATGATGAACTTTTATCTTATCTCTTTGCTAGTAAAAGATATGCTATTTCTAACTTTTACCAACACTAATATTGTTTACCATAAGTTTTACCAAATCCTATATGTAAAATTCCAAACTACCAAAATTATCTGGGGTTCAATCAAACTGTTTTGTACTTATAGTATAGCATATTAAGATGTTATATAAAGATCAAACACCTGAAAACATTTTTGTTCTAAAAAAATTTCAATATTTTTAATAGTTAGAACAAGAGTTATTTAAGGTATCAGATCTTTATGCTTTATCCTGTAGATATGTATTAAACTTATTGAACTGTGATTTTTATAAATCCATAGGTTGTTCTTGAAAATTCATGTAGAGCAGATGAACATGAATGTCCTTTTGGCCGATCTTCTGTAGAATTAGTACGTTTGCTTTGCAATATTCTTAGGATTGGTGAACTTCCCAGTGAACAAACAACTACATATCATCAAATATTTTTTAGCCATGATCATCCTTTTCATGAATTGTATTGTGTTTGTATTATATTACTAAATAAAACATGGAAAGAAATGAGAGCAACAACAGAAGATTTTGTTAAAGTAAAATTTAAAAAACTATAATTTATTTCATTTTTCGTATTAAAAATAATATTCAATTGTGTTAGGTATTAAGTGTTGTACGAGAACAAATAACTAGAGCCTTGGGTTCACAACCAGCTAATTTAGAAAAATTAAGACAGAAATTATCCACTCTTACTTATTCTGAGATTACTAACTTATGGCAACAAGAACGTACTTCTAGAGAACAATGGGAAAGTCATGCTCGTCCTATAGTGCAGCTTAAAGAATTAGTGACACCTGAAATAGTACAACTTATTAAAAAACAACGACTTCATTACATGGTTGATGGTACTCGATTTACTAAATACTCTCAACGTGGGCAGGTTATAATTATCATTTAAATATAAAATAAATAACAATTTATACCTCATCAACATATTAATTTATTTTTAGAGAGTAAAAGACAAATTTTGGTTTGTAAGATTATCCCAAAACCATAAAGTTTTGCATTATGGTGACTGTGATGACAAAAGTGTTCCTGCAATTGAAGAACTTCCTAATAAGTTAGGGATAGTAGATATAAAAGCATTGCTTACTGGTAAAGACTGTCCCCATATGAAAGATGCCAAGTAAATAACAATAATTATTTATTAATAAAAAATATTTGTAATAGGCAAATGATATAAATGTATAAGATATATTTTTTAATTTAGTACATAGTGTTTTTCACATTTTTTTCTTTTACTTATAAGAGCATACATTCTAAAAACTATTTTTTTTTTATTCATATATGCATACAATTTATACCAAATCCTGAATTTTAGAAACAAAAACCCTTTACTTCAGATTTAGACTTTATTTTACCTTGCTATATGTAAGGTTATGCCTAACCTCTTCTGAGAGAAACCCAATAAAACTGCAAATTTAATAGTCATTCTCTTTCAATTATATTTTTTTCTAAGTTTATATAGGTTCATATTTCATCTTAAGAGGACGTCTAATATGCATTTGTCATCTCTGTCAGCAAAAATGTGTTTTTATACTTCAAATACTAATCGTACCTTTATAAATAAACTTGTACCAAAATAAACATGAAAAGTTATTATAAATGTACATTAAACAGTTTTCTTGAACTTTTTTTCAAATCTATTATATTTTTTAAATTTTGCAGTTTTTAAAATATATTGAAGAAAATGATAAAATAGTCAGATAAAGAATCAAAAAAAAAAAAAAAAACTGCTCTGCTCTATGGACATTTAGTTAATCTTCTCTTGCATATTTTGGCTTCAACATCAAGTTTTATATGAGTTTATATTTAATTTTAATTATTTTTTTCAAAAAAGTAACCTATCGATTGTTTCATAATTTCTGAATTATAATTTTCTTTCAGTATTTTTATTACATCTTTATATGAATCCAATTGATTGAATTAGTATGTGTTAAACAAAGAAATGAAAAAATTGATGCCTATCCCCCACTTAATAATTTGGTTTGATTTTATAATTTTATTTTTATAGAAATCGAAAATCTACACATCAACTTGCTTTTTCATTGACTTTAGATTCTGTGGAAATGACCCCTCTATATTTTGTTGCTCCAGATGAAATGGTTTATGATTATTGGATTGATGGAATAAATGCATTACTTGGTAAATAAACCTAAATACGTTTCTAGAATTGAGTAAATTTGTCATCTTACTAATAAGACAATAACTTATCAACTTTTCAGTATTTGAGTAAATATTATGAACATTACCTTTAATAGTTTTAACTATAAATTAATTGTTGATACGATTTAACATCTACTTATACCTATTATATAACATAAGATAAAAATTATAAATAAGGAGTAACTGCAAGTTATATTGAATTTTTTTTTTTTAAATATGCAATAACCTTTTAATATATTAAATACTAAATGTTTTCTTTAAGTTTATTAATGTATTTAAACTCTAGTACATAGTTTCTTAATATTTTGTATAATTACATTCTGTCATTGGCTATCTTGTTGTATTACCGCAGATTGCGATCTTCCATCAATTTTTGGACATTTGTATAGCTGTCTTATTAAAAACTAACACTCTGCATGCCTACATGCTATATTTAATATAATCTGTGTTTCCTATTCTATTTTTGAACTGGTAGAGTATATTATTTGTATTTTACTTAATCATTGGGTAACAATATTTAGGTTACTATGTGTATCTTTCTGTATAATTATTATGCAAAAGAATTTATGATCTTGTAAATATTTATTTATTTTGTCATTAAAAATCCTTTTTGCATTGTATAAAAAGTCTAGATTATTAAATTTTATATGACAATACTTACAAGGTAAAAGCCACTAATTTATATTTTACTCTACCTATACAATTATTACTTAAATCCAACATTTATCAATTTTTTCTAGCGATAAGTGTACCTTATCTTTATTGTACTTTATATTTAACCACAATTTGAAAACTGTCAGTAACACTAATATATTATTTATAAGTCCTAAATATCACTGTAGAGCTGTAAAAATGGTAGACCAAATCTGTAGTCTCAATGTTCCCAGTAAACCACATATAAGATAGCCCTGCCATGTTGACTATAAGATACACACAGCAATTACATTATTTATACATTAATCGGATTAAACTCGTTATCAAATTAATGAGTTTTATGATTTATAAACTGAAAATAATCATATTATGTATTAAATACATATCAAGATATATTTTATACAAATATTATTAGCAAAAACTATATTTATTTTAAAAAAATTGCGCAAATTAAATTTTATGGTAATAAATTAATAAAATATTAAAGCATTTACATTTTGTTAAGCTCAGATAAAATACAATATAATTTGAAAATTTGTTATTTAGCAAATTTTCTTTTAATTATTTTTAAATTTTCAAAAAATTATTTAGGCAACAAAATGACCAGTAAAGAAGCTGATAATGATTTGGAAACATTGTTGTCGATGGAAATAAAGCTAAGACTACTAGATGCTGAAGGAGTTGGTGTAGATATTCCTCAAGATCCTCCCCCCGTTCCTGCTGACCCGCCAAATTATGAATTTTGTTATGACTTTAAATGAAATTTTCTAAATATTACTAATGGTTGTTTATATTTAGTATTTAATTTAATATATTAATATTATTTATTTATTGATGAAATATGTCGCTCTATATCCAGTATATGTAAATTCAAGAAGTATAATTATATATATATTATTTTAAGAAAATATATTACTTTTATAAAACCCAAATATTAATACATTAATATAATATATACATTTATTTATATTAGTCTTATACTTATTAGGTTATATGTTTTTTTTTTTTTTTTTTAAAACACAATCTAGTCTTAAAATAATTATTGAATTGTATTATTAAAATATAATAATATATTTATATTTTATATTATAATTTTCTTGTATTAACAATAATTTACATATTATTAAAACCTTTTAATACAATGTTAGTAAACTGTGACATAAAAATAGTTTTATAGAATTTGTTCAGGATTTTATTTAAATATTTTTAATCCTTTTTATTATTTTCTTATCTCAAGTTTATAAATATAGAACACTACTCCATTAAATAAATAATCTATTTTTAGGTAGATGCATGGTTAAATCTTCACAAAAAAAAAATTGTAAAAATTTACTGGAAGTTATAAATTGTATTAAATCTTATTTATGTTAATATTAATTGGATTCATTACACCTAATATGTAAATTATGCAATGTTAATATACATTGAAATTTTTTTTTTTCATATAAAACATTATCTTATACAAATTTTTTTAAAAATGCAGTGTTACAATATGTAAAATATAAACATTGTTATAAAGACTTTATGGTTGTTAAAAAAAAAAATTCTCCAAGGCATTAAAAAAATATATAATAAAACAACTAAGAAGTCATTTTATACACAGTTTTTGTATCTATAGTAATAAATTCACAAAAAAAAAAAAAAAATTAATATCTAAACTAATTATTTTCCTTTCGTTCCAAAAGATAAATGATTTGAAAACAATAGTAAGCTATATATTTGTATAATAATTTAAAATTTAATAATCTATGTATTCTAGGTTTTAAAAATTAGTTTTATTTTTAAAAGAAATAATATGTTTTTAAATACAATATTAAAAAATTTAAATAATAAATATTAACAAAAAAATGGTAAGTAATATAAAAATAAAATATACAAGTATACTATTATAAAATTGTATAAATTAATTATATAGTTATGGAGAAGTTTTAGTAAAACCTTTTGGCAATGGTATATCAAAAATTATTGGTTGATTATTTGGTAAATATTGTAAATTACAAGTTGATGCATTTATGTATACAATTTGTCCGTCAGTCGTGATTCCATAATCTAAAAAGTCAATATATTTCAATTATTTATCATAACTAATAATTTGTTAGTGATAAACTAATGACTGTAAAAATTTGATAGTTCTAAATTATTATAATAAACACTAAAGATATTCTTTAAAATATATATATGAAAATGATCATTATTATCTGAATACTAATATTTGTCTCAATTTAATTAAAATATGAAAATATAAATGTATAATACCAAAAAGAATAGTCTTAGAGGAGACCATAAAACTCCAAAATTCAGTGGAAAACCAATGACTATCTGCAAGACGTCAAAGTGCACGAAGAGAAAAGATATACAAAGTGGGATTATGAATATACCTATATGTAAATTTGTTGAATATGGATATACGCTAACTAAAAATTTGTACTTAAAAAAAATACGCGAAACTTTAATTTATTGTCACTATGAACCATAAAAAAAAAAAAATAATAATACACAATTATTATTTTATTGTGTAGTCTGTCTCAAAAAAGAGTAGACTGGTAGTCAAATTTATAATGTATACTTTCATAGCGGATATTATCCGCTGAGCCTTATAACGTTATGTTACGATTTACTTTTGAACTAAGTCTATACATTTACACCATTTTACCTACATCTTGGTGTAGAACGGTGGTTAGGTAGTTTAAAGTATAGTATGTGGAATGTCATTTTGAGCGTATCTAGCAAGAAACATTTTTAGAGGTTTATTTAACCTTTTTTTGATACATATATATCCATAAATTATTTTTAAATACACCCTCAGTCAGCCGTTTCTCAAAAGTACGAGAGTAAGTAGTTATCGGACTATGGTTTAGCACACGCAGAACCACATCAAAATTCTTACCAAAAATTTACAAGAATCACGAAAATATGTCAGTCCTGTGTGGCTGTGTTACATTACCTATTACAATAAACTATTATAACTATTATATTCATAAATAATAATCTTGATTATTGAACTAACATGAATTTATTTATCTTTTATTTTAAGCAGTTTTTTTTTTGTTCTACTTAAAAACCAGTTTTTATAGATAATGTATACTGATAAACATATTGACTAATGAAAACTGTATCGAAAACTAATAAAGTTAGCAGTCTGTTTATTTTCAAATGAAGTTATTTATATACAATTGTAACTATGCAATTGTCTACATAATTATATATTTATTATTATTTCATTCTATATCATTATATTATATTTACTGCAGTTAAATTAATAAGGAAAAATATGTTATTTATATTTAAACTGTTATAAAAATGTAACAATCTAAAACGTATAATAGTAAATTAATAATACCTTCATGTACATGTCCAAAAATATGATATTTTGGTTTTACTCTGTTTTGAACAGTAGAGAGAAGCTCTACACATCCTGCTCTAACACCAGAGTAACAATGATCTCCATGACCTAATGGTGGAGAATGGGTTACAAGTATATCAATACCATCAGGTATTTGATTCCATTTATCCAGGCATGGTTGACCCCGAGGAATGTTAAAAGCCCAGCCACCATATACTGGTTGCCTATATATTAAGAATTGATAAATATAATTGGACAACTTCAACAAATTATTAAAATAGGTATGTTTTATTCTTACCACGGAGAACCATAAATCTTGAGACCATAACATTCAATCATAGAATCCTCCAAATAAATACAGTTGGTTAAATATTTTTTATTGTCTTTCTGTTCCATAATATTGCTAATTAAATCATTTTCATATCCAAAGGATGAAATTTCATTTCCATCATAAGTGAATTTAGGATCAAAACTTAGTTCATGATTACCAGCAATTACTATTTTGTATGCATGAGGTAACAGACCAAGCCATTCATTAAACTGTTTAACTTCTTCCATTTCTCCACACTTGGTAAAATCGCCAGCATGAATAAAAATGTCTCCAAATGGAACTTCATGTTTCATTAAATGGGTTTTTGAATGAGTATCGCTCATACATACAACTCTTACCTAATGATAAAAAAAATAACTACCTAAATACTGTACATTCAAAAACGGTGTAAATGATAACATACTTTATTAACTCCTACTGGTCCTTTGGGTAAAGGAGGCTGTATTTTTAAGACTTTTTGAGACTTTTTAATAATATCCCATACGCTTGTTGGATCATTAGTTAACGGATGAACTTCTATACATGAATTACTTGAAGTGCAATTCATATTATTAAATAATTTAGATAAAAACATCATAAAAATTAATATTTAAACATTATTTGTGCACATTTAAAAATGTATTAATTTAACACAATTTAAAATTGATCTTACCAAACACTATAATTTAGTCTTAGTTAAAAATAGTTTGTATAAACAATATTATCTAATCTCTATTATCATAAGTTTGTGTTTTATGAATCAATCAATAATAATATTGATATTAGACAGAATTTAAGATAAAAAGATAATATTTTTTTTGTTTATTAAAAAATGAAAATATAAAACATTAAAACATTTACAATCTATATATTAAAAAAAAAATTACAATAAGCAATATATCTTTAATCGTGATATTTGATCATAGATAATAAGTCAATATACTAAATTAAAAATTTTCATTTTTAGTTCACTAACAGATAAATCGTTTAAAGGTTGACAAATTGAAGACAGAATTTTCAAAGTTAATATGTCCAAACAAACAAATTTTCCATCATATATGGGTATTGCGGGTGTGTCATGTTGGTGACTGTATGTATTATGTGAAAGAAACTTTTGCATAAACCATTCTGATTATTATAGCAGTATTGACAATCAATAGTCTACGGGATGCAACAAACAATGGGCACGTGAATACAGCAATTTAACCATATGGTAAAATCAATTAACCTAAACTGGTTATAACTATAACTTAAGAACAAATTTCCAATCCTGTCTCTATACATTATTTATCATTACAAATAGGTATATTTATGTTTACTATATAAGTAGTAAAAAAATTTGTATTTGATATGGTTACAATAGATGCATATACAATGTGTAATAGAAAACTCAAATTATGTATGTATACAAAAGAAAAGTTGATAGTGAATCATAATAATTTAATAAATACACTTTAAACATCATTAGATAATATAGCTTGATAAATTAGCACTGAATTTATACATTTGCAAATGCTTGATATAATTCTAAAACTTCAGATCCTACATGAATTTGAACTGTTACGTTAGCTGGTATCATGAACACTTTTCCAGTTGACAAAACTAAATCATTTATTTTACATTGACCATGAATAATAAGAACTATAGAAGCAACATCTCTTTTCAATAAATCATAAATTTCATCTGCGGGTACCTTGAAAAATTAAAATTTATACATCAATAATATTTTATTTAATTATTAAAGTATCTATATTAATTTAAATACTTTAATATGAGCTACTGCAAAATCTGGTACAGGTGGCCTAAAAGTTATTGTATATAAATTTTCCTGAACTCCATAAAAAAACTTGGATTCAACTGGAGCACCGTTAAAATCAAGCATACTACATAGTGTTTTCACGTCAATGTACTTTGGAGTCAATCCAGCTCTTACCACATTATCAGAACAAGCCATACATTCAATGCAATCTAAACATACATAAATATATAAACTTATATAAGTAATTATTACTGTAGTAGAAGATTTATAGTAAAGTAATTTTAGTTCAGTAATATACATTAGCTTATTCTTTTATAGGTATGATATATTGGACACTATATCTACTATCCAAAATGTTTCTACAAATTTAACCTATAATACCTATTTTACTCATAAAAAATTAAAGAAATATAACCTCCATAGATGTAAGCATGGGGTTCATTTGCTCCTAAATAGATAGCTTGGCCAGGTGAAAGTTGAATATAATTTAAAAAATATATGCAGAAACAACCAACATCATTTGGAAACCAACAATCAAGCTGATAAAAAAGTTTTTCCAGAAATGTTTCTTTTTCATTAGCACCTGTAAATATATGTTATTATAAGTTACATTTTGAAATACCTAGTTAGTATCAATACAAAACATTCAAAATAAACACAAATATGTACATTGCCTACAATAGAAAATAATTATCTAAAAATGTTTTATACACAAGTCAAGTCATTGAATATTAAAAACAATTATATTCTCTTTTTTATGAAAAAAAAAAAAACATTGATTTTGTGTGAAGATTAATTATTTATAATAAAAATGTATTTGATTTTGTTTTATAAGTAACTTAAAATGAGTAACTCGTTAATATTAACAATCCAATTTTATTGTATATATACATCACTTACATAGAGATTGGAGTTTTTTTTTATGGCTGCTTATATTTTGAGCAATAATTTCTTTCTCGGATGTCATTAATTTATAAAATATTTCTTTAAGCAAATTTTGTGAATTGGAAGTATCTTTTTTAAATCGATCAATAAGTTCATATCCAACTATTGTTTGAAATTCTGGTATTTCTAAATGAAATAATAAAATAACAATTATTTACAATTTTTTTTTTTTTTAATATGTATAGCATACAAAATACCTTCTAAAAAAAATTTAATTTCATAGTATGGACGAAAACCACAAAGTCCTTCAAAGTTATTTAAAGCGATAGCCATTTCTGGTTTATGATTAGGATCAGGATATAATTCAGGATATTTCTCATGTAATTTTTCAGCATGATCCTGAATGAATTCAAAATAATATTATTGGTATTATCATAATGAAACCAGAAACAGTATTTATTTACCTTAGATGGATGCACTTGGATAGACAGAGCTGAATTTACAGATAACACCTTCATTAAAAATGGTAATTTATTACCAAATTTCAATATAGATGCTTCACCTAGCACTTCTTCATTGTTCTTAATCCAGTCACTTAACTTTTGTCCAGAGCTTCTGACTAATGAAGGGCTTTTACTATGAGCACCCATCCACAATTCAGCATAATATTGTTTTTCATCTATAGAATCTATATGTTTGCCAGCCAAACTTAATCGACTAACTTCACTACCAAATCCTTTTTTTCCCCATAAATAATTTTGAATAGAACATTTTAGCTCAAAAACTTCAATCATGCTTGGAATATTTTATAAAACTAAAATAAAAATAACAATTATTCTTTATTATTAAATTTTAATATTGATTTGTATCGTAATATTAAACTACCTCAACAAGGAAAAAATAAGTCACGAAAAAGTTCAAAGTTCTAAGTATGTCATGTTAAATGAAACTAAGCCATAGATAAGTTTGTTTTTATTATTAAATCAATACCTAAAAGACAATATTATATGTCAACCAATGTTCAAGTATAAATATTGAATCATGGCGCCAAACAAGAACACGTCAGCTGTGACGTTATGCAATATTCTCTAATACCTACAATGTTTAAATTTCAATAAATCATAATATTTTTTTATTATTTAATAAACAAAATATTTAATTATATTTAATTACTTCAATGTTATTCTGAAGGTCAACTGTTTATATTTTATAAAGTCTGATAACAGTATTATCAGAGAATATATAGGATACTAAAATGATAAAATTGTATTATTCAACTTGATATTATTTTATAGTTTATAAACAATTTAAAATTTACATGAATATTAATTTTTGAAATTTTGAATTATTTGATTAGTAGATATGTCATTACTAACATCTGAATGGGTTCCATATAGAACTGAAAATTATTTCAGGTATAAATTACATTTCAATATTATTGTAGTTACTAGTAGTTATACAAATATCTTTGGATTGAATATCTTAGTCATTATATTATGTATACAAATTATAATGAAACAATTCTAATTTAACCAATACTAAAAAAAATTGAACTTTGATAACGATGGTACAATCATAACTTAACAGAAATATTTAGTTCTAAAGCTATAGTAATTCGAATTTCGCCAGTGTACAGGTGTGAATACCACTTGTTAGGTATACCAGTTACACTCATCATATCCAATGCTGCTGTGTACTCTTTATTCTATTTAATATAGACATACAGAACTGCAGTGTAGATCCAAACCTGATTCTGTTCTAAGGAATTTAATGATCTAAGTATAAACCTAAACACCTCCACAAAAGACCGGGTTTTCAGAAATCTCCATTCACACATAAAATTTAAAAATAAAAAATAGTGTTTATAAAATTACATTTAGGTTTAACAATTTGTATTTAATAATACAGATATTTAATTTTAACTATTTTCACAAGAATTAACTACTAGTATTAAAAATGATTGCCATCTCTAGTGTCCCACTAATATTAATAAAATATTTTTGACAAATTCTAATTGTGCCATTTTCTTAAGTAATAAAATATTCAAATCCATGAGAGTTAGGCTGTCTACACACAAAGCTATTTATTTGAAACTAATTACTGACGCAAATCACTAACCTACTAAGTCTAATTTGAGTCACAACATATGTTATTCAATGAAACCCAACAGGCGGCACTACTGGTTACTAATTAGTTACTATAACGCGTTAGTGGTCAGTTCCAAGTGATTCAACTGTCAGGTCACTTCCAAGTTGTGTCACGTACTCTCGTAGAACTGTGTGAATTTTTAAAATCTTATTTTTCTTATTTTTTTCTACTAAGAAATATAAAAAGATGAACCAACAAAAAACTAACAAAAAGTGGTTAGAAGAAATAGAAAAACATCCTATTCTATACAACTTTACTAAAAAAATTGTTCAATACATGGATGAACCCAAATCTTTTTTTTCTATTTATTTAGTTATGGTAATAGTAATATGCAGGTTCTACTTCCATAATGAAACAGTCAACAGAAATACTAGTGATTTCAATCACTTTTCAGTAGACTCAATCAGCAATACATTAGTAATCGATAAGTAATTTATATCACGAACCAGTTTAGTTTTTTTTAAGTATCTCCATGTGTAGACAGCCTAGTTAAACTATAATTATATCTGAATTTAAATTATCTGCTTTATTATGTTTTTTAATTTGTTTTACACTCCTAAATTATTACAGAAAACTTGAAATATATTCTAATATGTATTGGAGTAATGAAATAGACATAAGTACATCTGTTGTTATTGCGGCATCTTGTGGAGGACCAGTTATTGTTATAAGAGATCGAACCAAATTGGTATCTGCGAAAACCGTTGGAAAACCAATAATTTCTGTTTATACATCATCTGGGAAAATTATTTCGTCTTTTGTGGTATATTGTGTTATAGTTTTCATTTTTTTTTTTTTAAATTTAAATGATACTAATTTAAATTAGATTATATAATAAGCACAAAGTGCTCTAGTTATTTTGTATTAGGAAACTATTTATGTTTTGTAATTATTTTTGTCTTTAAGTGGAGTTCAGGTCATTTAATAAACTTAGGATGGTCAAACAACGAAGACATATTATGCTGCCAAGACAATGGTTTGGTTTTGGTTTATGATTTATTTGGGAATTATCAACATACATTCAGTATGGTTAAGGTGATTGAACAAAATATCTGATTGATAATTTGTTTGTATTATTTATAATTTTGTATTTTGATTATTTTATACATTCATTTTAGGATAAACAGGATGTAAAATTATTGGATGCAAGAATTACAAGTAACTTTACAAGAACCATAGTTGCTGTATTAACGGAACTGTACAATATTTATATAATGAACGATATTACCAAAGTAAAAGTACACATTTTACCTAATATTCCGGGTATTTACTATTTTACATTTATAAATATTTTTATATTAATAGTAGTTCATTTTTAAATTACAATTTATGATTCAATTTTTACTTAACAGATTTAAATAGTTTACCAAATGTATGGGAAATAATATTATTAGAAAGACAAACAAGTGTGTTGGTTTCAACACAGCATTCTTTATATTCTGTTTCACATGCCGAGTGCAAACAACAAGTATGTTGTTATTGTGATAACATAAAATTAATTTGAATTCAAAAACATATTTAATTGTTACAGGTTATTGGATTTAACAGCAATGATTATAACAATGATATAAATATGACAAACTTAGTTAAGAAAATGTCTATTTCAGCTGATCATAAACATATTGCTCTATTAAATAATGATAATACAATTTGGATTGGATCTTCAGATTTAAGAAAAGTTTATAGAATTTATAAAAAATCTCCTACAAGTTCAATTGATCAGATGGCTTGGTATTTTTTTTTTTTTTAAACAATGTTTTTATAAAGACTATAAATACTAAGTATCTTAACTTATTAGTAATTTATGTATAATTTGAATTTAATTAGGTGCGGTTCAGAAGGTGTAGCATTATATTTTAGAACTGATGAGATAATAATGATAGTTGGAAAACTTGAGGATCAAGTGTCGTTTATCTATACAGATTCTGTTTGTTTGGTATCAGAAATAGATTGTGTTAGAGTTATAGGAACATTTTCAAATGATATGTTGCAATTAGTACCTCCTTATGTACAAGACATCTTTCGTATTAATAGCACTAGTCCTAGTTCTTATTTAGTTGAAGCTTCTAAACAATTTGAAGTAATTTGTAAAAATCAAAATTAATCTATTTGATTTTAAAATTATTATACATTTATTTTTAGAGAAGAAATCATAGAGCTAATGAGTATATACATTTAGTAAGTCAGCAGTTGGGAACCGCTGTAAATTGTTGTATTGAAGCTGCAGGGCATGAAATTGATACATCAACACAAAAATTATTGATGAAAGTAAGTTTTAATATTGGTTAATAGTTTATTACTAATGACTAATTAGTAATTTATAAACATTCTTCAAATAATAATAATAATAGCAATTTTAATAGTCAGCTCAATTTGGTAAAACATTTCTACAAAATTGGAATCCAGATCCATATCTTAATATGTGCAGATTACTAAGAGTTCTAAATGCTGTTCGAGATCCAAAAATTGGCATTTCTATAACATATCCCCAGTAAGTTTAAGAACAATATGTTAATTTTTATTATATGTTAAAATTATAATTTAGGTAATAGATATATTTATTAAATATTGAGTATATTATACTAGTAGTGTATAGTTTAAAGTATTTTGCATATTTAATTATTAAATAGTTATTATAATTTTATTCCTAAAATAAATTTTGGATTTATAATAAATTGTAGTGTTATAGAGTAGTTATAGTATACAAAAGTATATCATAATTAAATTGTCTTAGTATGTGAGTATGTGTATTATAGTAAATAATAGTTTAGGATATCAATTTTTGATTTTTAAATATGAATATATATAGAAGAATATATTTTAAATATCTTTAATATTTATTTATTTTTAGATTACAAAAAATATCGGAGCAAAAATTATTGGATAAACTTCTTGGACAACGACATTATTATTTAGCTTTACAAGCATCGTCTTTTATACGTATATCTAGCGATTTAGGATCTAGTCGTATTTTAACTCATTGGGCAAAATTTAAAGTTAATATAAGAATAACCAAGTAATATTTAAATTTCAGTAATCATTAAACTGTTTTAATTTATAGGTGAAGCAAACACAAATTGACAAAGAACAATTAGCGAATACAATTGCTGATAAACTTGGTAAATTTTCTGGAGTTTCATATCATAACATTGCAGAAATGGCAGCAAATACCGGCAGAATACAACTTGCTATAAAAGTATGTCCACAATATTCTGCATATAGGCAATAATCTGGGCATTTTTTAATTTTCCATTTTAAAATGCAATGATTATGTTTAACATTTTAAGTATAATAATCTTATTGTTAATCCCCATAATAATTATTTTCCTACATTCAAAATTTATATTTTTATTTATTTCTTACTATGTTAAGTACTAATTAATTGTCTACTTATTATTTTACAGCTTTTAGATTATGAAACACAAGTAAATTTGCAAATACCATTATTATTGAAATACCAACAAGATAATATTGCTTTAAAAAAAGCTGTCGAAAGTGGAAATACTGACCTTATTTATATGGTTTTACTTCATATGCAAACTTCTATGCCACTTGGAAAATTCCAAGTTAGTTTACAATTAAAAATGGTTTTATAATTAATTATAACAATAACTTATTTTTTTCATTTATAGTATAAGTTATTACTTTGTCAGTCTATATACTCAAACATAAACCAAATATTGACTATTTAATATTCATACTATATTTTGAGTGATTTGTTAGTTTTTTTTTTTTTTTTTTTTTTTTTTTTTTTTTTGTAGATGGAAATAAAAAAAAGTTCTGTTGCTCAAGCACTATTTATAAAATATTGTCATCAACAATCAGGATATTCACTTTTGGATATGTACACTCAAGAAGATGATCATGAGCAGTTAGCCCTCTATCATGTTACTGAATCAATTAAATCAAATGTATCAATATACTTAATATTAATTAATTTAGTCATATTTATTTAATTTTTAATATGTATATTTTAGAATACAAAGGATATAACATCTTCAATAAATGAAGCTATCAATTGTTATACAAGAATGCGAGATGAATTTTCATTAACCACTTGTGAAAGTCAATTAAAGTTAATAAGATATCAAAACAGTTTAGAAGAAAAATTAAAAAACGATTTTCGTAATTTAACATTGCACGATACTCTTGTGAAATTATTAAAAATAAATGAACTGAAACTTGCTGATAAATTACGTTCAGAATTCAAAGTTCCAGAAAGAAGGTAAATGATGCATATTTGATATTTAATTAAAATTGTATTCAGTTATTTTCTTAAATTATATTAATTATTATTAAATGTTAAATATAAAATTATAATTAATAAACTATTTGTTAGTGTTATTAAACTTAAAACCAAATAAGAATTATTGATGTTATATATTGGCAGGTTAGATGACAGAGATAATAATGAAATATGTCCACTAAAATCCATATAACTTTATTTATATACAGGTGTACTTAATTTAAGGCACAAATTATTATAAAATGTCAATTTTGTTTGTGATTTGTAGAATCCAAATATATAAAATAGAATATAAGATTTATTTAAATTAATTTTTAAACTTAACTAGGATAAATTATACTATTTAAAATTTGTATAAATTTACTTTTAGATATTGGTGGGCACGGTTAACTGTATTATCAGAACTACAAGATTGGATTGAACTTGACAAACTATCTAAAATGAAAAAGTCACCAATTGGATATGAAGTAAAATAAATAATTTTATTTAATAAATATATATAGTGAAACTAACAAACAGTTATAGGACCATACAAAATGTATGTTATAGACAGGTGTCCATAATAGGCATTGGAGAAACATTGCAAAGAAAAAATTAAAATGAACAGACAAAAATGTACAAGTCTATAATAGCGAAGCGGTACAGAATATACACTGAATAGTCTTAATGTTTTAACATGTTTTTGGTTATTTTCGTTCTCGCAATTAACTTTATCCTTATTATCAAACATGTAATCTGTCATAATCAGTATTTGAAATAAGTCTCTGACGCTGTTGCATGATATGGGTATACACGGTCCACGTTTGCAATAGATTTAATTTTGAACTAAAATAGTTATCCTTAATCGAGATATTAATGAAAAATATTACTGTCCGTGTCTGTAATAGAAAAAGTTTGTTATAGACTGGTTGAAATACTTTGGAATGCCTATCTTTTGCCATTGCCTTATTATTTTGACCTAAGAGAAGTGTTCGTTATATATGAGTATCCGTTAAGACAGGTTTCTCTAGTTTAGTAAATTATATTACCAGGTGATCCATTTAAGTGGGTAAACTCATTATCTTGGAAAGTATTAACTTTTTCCGAAATTTGTTTTCTAGAATATTTCAGAAACAAGCTGTTCTACCATTTTATATTTATGTTATTTTTTATCACTCTTGTTTTTGGGAGTAAAACCACTACCTACTTTTGATTTTAAAATAACAACCTATATTAAAAATTCCATAAATAAATGGCGTATTAGTTAAAATAAATTTTAGTGTTGACATTTTTGATAATATTGCTATTTAAAAATCAAAAGTAGGTAGTTTTCCTCCAAAAATAAGAGTGACAAAAAATAACATAAATATAAAACGGTAGAACAGCTTGTTTCTTAAATGTTCTAGAAAACTAATTTCGCAAAAAGTTAATACTTTCCAAGATAATGAGTACCTACTTAAATTAATCATCTAGTATAGTTATTAGTATAGTTAATAAATTTAATTAAAGACTATAGTATTAACATGTGTCTTTTTAATTCATTTTAGCCATTTATAGATGCGTGTATTAAACATGGAAACAAATATGAAGCATTAAAATACTTACCAAAAATAAGAGATGATCTTAAACAAAGTTATAGCAATAAAATATCTGCAATGCCTTAAACTATGTTGTTCCTATCCAAATTTTTTTATTTACAATTATAATTTGTTTTGGTATACAAAGTGAGCCACCGTGTTTTTCTATATGAACATTACAAAGCCTGAAACACAAAAAGTTCCTAACCCTATGAGCATGACCTATTGACAACAATTAAAATCATCAATGGTATTTCACCAATCTAAATGTAATATTAATCACCATACATTAATTTTAATTTGTTTGTTAAATTTATTTTCATACATAAATAATGTATATATTTAAAAAAAAATCCAATACAGTTTATTTTACAAATTTGATAAATTGCCTATAAGTTGGCAAACATTATACTTTATTAATTTATTAATTTTGTGTAGTTATGTAATTTTTAGCATAGGAAAACACCAACAACCACTTTCTGTATACCACTGTAAATTTTATATTATTTATATTGTAATCCTCTATTATTATTGTTTTTTTTTTTTTTTTAATTTTACTATTAAAATTGTTTTGTTATTATTATTAAAAAATTATCAAAATATTAATAAACAATCATATTATACATTTGTTTGATTATTTACTTTAATCCTTTAATTAGTCAATTAGTTATATTTTTAATGATTCATTTTAACACACTGTAGCCTGTAACCAAAAATCAGCAAGAATGTATCATTCAAACACCTGAAGTTTGCTGATTTATTATAATAAACATACTCATGAGTCACATTTACAATATGAGATTACATTTACAATATGCATTCACATTATATTTTATATCTCTGCTAATTTATGTAAGTATTTCTAAATATTTTTATGAAGTAATGATTAACCTTGGCTGAAGGTTAGATACCCATATTAAATCCGTTTCTAACTAGGTTCTATTTGATTAATTCTGACAGATAGGTACTTTATGGTGGCTATCTATGTCATGCAAATTTTAACTCCAAACATTTTCAACTTCAGTATTAAAACTAATACGGATAATTCTAAGGCTTTTGACCATGTATGTCATGAGTCTTAGATTAAATCATTTCAAGAGTCCAGTTTGAGTGAGCCTTTTGTATAAAACTATGTAAGGATTAATGGAAGTTTCTTAGTAAGAATTAAAATGAATGAGAGTAAAACTAAGTATATGCCAAGGTCAGAACTTACAATATGTCTTATATACTTGACTGTATTATAAGTAATTATAAAATTTACAGTATAAAACTATTAGTTGTATACGTTTTATACTGTAATGTATACAATTTTTTTTTGTTTGCTACAACTAAACAAAAATTATCAGGTAAAATAATTGTCAACTGAATTTAATCATCATTCTCAATTAATCAATCTCAAAAAGACTAGAATGGGCTGGGCACATATGGTGAGATAAAGATAGTTTAATGAGACAGGTTTTGGTATCTAAACTAAATAAAACACCCCCCCCCCCCCCAGAGAAAGGCCGTATGTCAGCGTTGACTAGATCGGGTAAAAAAAGATTTATTTCAAGTAGATGAAACGGCAAGAATCGCGGATGCAGACAACAGAGACCTATGAAGGGGTTTAGTAAAAGCAGCGAAAAGCCTTAATGGCCTGTGTTCGTTCTATTATGGAATATAGTGCTAGGTGTTATTGTTTTAGATCTTGTCTTAACTGGAAAGTGTCAGCTTGATTGTGTCCAACGAAAATACATCAAGTTATATCCTTTTGTTTTAAAAAACGAACGTCATCCACATGATTACTCTCCTGTTCTCCTTTAGTTGATAAAAGGGTTGATAGTAATCTGGTGTTTTTTTTCAAAATTATTTATTCTAATATTATATACACTATATCATTATTATTTATTTAACAATTTCAATTTTCTTATCCCTCCTTAACTTTCGACATTTCCATTCTTTTTCTAACCCTAACTGTCAAATCCATTACCTACTTAAAAAATAATCCTGTGTATAGAATGATAAAATTGGACAACAAGAACCAATCTTTCCTTAATTAATTGTTTATTATAATTTTTATTATTATTATGTAAATTATCTATTATTTAAATTATTTCATTGTCATTTTAGATTTTGAACAAAATGAGGAATGTACTAGTTTTTCAATGATGTTTATTTAATAAAACAATAAATTAAAAACAAAATTATTAAACGGTTAATACTCATTAATAATATATAAATAAATAATTTATATGTAGAAATTTAATTAATTAATTAATTAATGTGTTGCCTGGGTAGTAAGATAGGTATGTATATTGTAAGACCAGTTTCAAATTAAAAATTCATCATCCATACCACAAAGTCAAAAAATAAAACCCTACTGAATATGAAAAAATAAATGAAGGAATACATAGAGAAAAAATTATACAAATTGGTAATTTTACATAGAAATAATTTATTTTAACAGGAGAGATTATTTAAAATGAGTTATTAGACAAACATATATCAAGAAATATAAATTATTTGGTTATTATTTATTATCTAAAATGTATTGATATAAGATAATAGTTTTAAATCGGTTTATACATTTAAAATATTATTGAAATTATGTTTCTTTATTTCATTGTGTATGTGTAATTCTTTTAAAACTGAATTAATGTAAATGTTATATTGGGTAAGTACATAATATTTTTAAGCCTCTATTGATATCAAAAATTATATTGTAGTTAATTTCTAAAAGATGTTTACAAAAAAATTAGAATTAAGAACATTATTTTTTAATTTTATTTCAGAAATATGTTCTTTATCATAGGTGTGCGCACGGGGCGAGCACCGGCTCGACCGGAACTAACATCTAGTATTAACATTGACACGGTGATTGACGAATTTAAAATGATGGGAAATAGGAGAATTCATTTATAATTGTATTTAAATTGTAGTTAATACATAATTATACATTTATACATTATATACGCTTTATGTATTAATTTAATATCTATATAGAATTTTTGTTTATTAAACCAAGCTTTTTTATAAATGTTGGGTAATGTGTTTTGTCTAAGTATTGGGACACTAATTGTATCCAGGCTCGACCGAAGTCTGCATAAGCCTATGTTCTTTATATCTTATTTTAAAATTTATCTTTTTCTTACCTGTATAACATTTATTACAGTTAAATTAAGGTTTATATATTCCAACATTTTCAAAAAAAAAAAAAAAGGTGGTTTTTTTATAAAGTTTTTAGTACTATTTTTTTGTATGTTTGATTAAATTATTATTAGTCTTGAAAGCGATTTTTACATTATTTGTGTTATTATTTAGAATTTTAGAGGTTTTTAGACATATTATTTTGATTTTTCATACTACAATAGTTAACATTATTTGGTGAATTATGTTTTATTTTTTCTTTAACACGTTTATGAATGTATTTTTTTAAGTGTGAAATTTGTAAATGGTTTAAATTTTGAGATAAAATTGTTTATAAATTATTAATCTTTCCTGCTATTACATGTTTTTTGCATATACATTAAATTCCTCTCTATACCTATCCACTTTCTTAACTCACATATAACAGTGGCACACTCATCGTGCGAAGTATGTTTTTATCTATTTAATGCCTAATTTTAATCAACTATAATTTTAGTTTGTGTTTTATTTATTTTAAATATTGAATTGGATTTAACACGTTTATATTACAATAAATAAATTATTATTCAGGTGCCATTAGTATTATTTAGGCTCCATTCAAGTTTACTTAAATTAAAAATAATTAATGATGATTTCAATATACCTACATATTTTAAATTTTAAAAAATGTATACAATTAAGAGGACGTCTACATTAATTTACCTATTGTCTCAGTCCAACTACTGTATAACATACAAAAACAATTCTCACGGAAAATAAGTAAAACTAGCTTAGTTTTGATTTTAGAGTAATAGTACCTATTATAAAATGAATAGAGAACAATATTTTTATGGAAATGGCGTTGGTGTTTTTTGAGTTATGAACTATTAAAAAGTTACAGTTGTTTAAAAACCAAAAAATAAGGTTTTTGTATTTTTTAAATCGAACTGTATATTTTGAATAATACAAAATCGCTGTGTCTTTCTCTTTTAAATATTTTTTTTATAAATTTCACAATAGGTAATTTTACTCTAAAATCAAAATTAAGGTAGTTTTCCTTATTCTGTGTAAGCATTGTTTTTGCATGTTACTTACCCGGTAGTTTGACTGAGACAGTAGATGCCGATAAACGTCTTCTTAAGACAAACATAAATAGAATTATGAATTAATATCTGTAATGTATATTTTTAATTCTTCATGAGTTATCATCACAAGATATCGCTTATAATATCTTTGTTAGGTACCGAAATAATAAAGCAATTTTGTCATTTTACTTTTATTTAAAAAATGGGGTCAAAAATCAAACAATGACATTTCAAAGTATATCTAGATAACTTGAGCTTTCAGAAAAGTTGCTACACGTAAAAATCGGAGCAAGTTTACTAGGAAAAAAAGTGTTCACAGACTAGAACAAAAAAGAAAAAGAAATAAACAGCATTCTAAAACCAAACGCTACCTTGCTACGCCCGGAATCTAAAAATAAAATAAAATAGCTCGTATATCACCTTTTAGTTACCTAGGTGGCTATGGGTTACCTAGGGACCTAGGAACTATTGTTCATTTTATACTACCTAGTATCTAGTGATTCTTCGTGTCAAAAATCTGATACACTAGGTATTGAACAATTGCATATTACATAACATTTTTTTATAGGCGAGTTTACAATATTATTATTATTTACAATAATAATGTTGAAATAAACGCCCCTATAAGTTACTCTACGTAATCAATTTTAAATTTAAAATAATAAATATAATGCAATAGTACGTGCAAATAAGTATAAATAAAATGAGTAGGTATGATATTCATATTTTATAACTGTCAGTTTTTCCATTAATTTTTACCCATTACGACGTGACAGATAATTATATGTTGTCAGAATGATTGGCATCATATAATAACATCAAAAAAAAAAAAAATAGAGTACTGGTTTTTATACCGTTTTGTACGTACTGATGTACCTATTATAATTTACATGGTACCTAATAGCAAGTGAATCCTCATCGTAAGTAAAAGTGTGTGTTTGTACTTGACCTAAGGTCAATGAAATATATATAGGTACCTTTATAACACGTTTATTAATTTGTTTAGTATTTTAAAAATGTATAGGTATATGTAATAGCAAAGTACAAACCGATAGGTCCTCCTAAGTATAATAATTTTATATAATTGCAAATAATTAACCTATAATGCATAATACATTTATTTTATAGTTAATTTAATCACTCAAGTAATTTATTTTACTACCTATAAAAAATACAAACCATAAGTTATAAGTAAGTAAAAAAAACATTAATTACTATATAGTAGGTATCTACCTGTATGGTTATACAAGATATACCGCAAAGATATAATCATAGCAATATCTTGGAAAATATTATTTTTTTTGGGCTTTACAATTTAAGAAACAAGTAACCTT